AGGGGGTAAATTTGATCAAAACATGTTGTATGCATGTATGGACATGTCAAAATGTCAAAATGAACTCAATTATCATGTATAATTATTGTCTGCTAACAGATCTTTTAAAAAGTTCATGTAACGCACACATTTGCTAATCACATAGCTTTTGGTTGACAGAGATAGTGGCTCATGTTCAGAGAGAGCTCTGAAAATCCTAAACCTGTGTCAGCAAACCTTTCAGCAATGCAACCTGACACAAGGACCAAACTGCTGCACAGTAATCGTGCATAGCTGTGTGTGTGTGTGTGTGTGTGTGTGTGTGTGTGTGTGTGTCTGAATATGTACACATGTGTATTTTTTGTGTCTGTGTGGGAAGGATGCAGGTACACGTTCATGTGTATGTGCATACTTCAGATATCTGTCTATGTCTGTTTCCTCCCTTTGAAAATAGAAGCACGGATATACTTGACTAAGAAACCCTGTCTGTGCCTACACAGAACTTAGGAAGAAATTTTCCACTTTGTTACAAACACCTAGCATAACAAAATCCACATGTAAATGCTGATCCAAAGGTCAGTGTGTCTGCATGCTTGCTCTCAGCACAGTATGTCTGAACCACCACCGTCCTTCACTTTGCCTTCTTCATTGGTAATTCTTTCTTGCTTTATCTTATCTCATTCACATAGGGGGCCCCATCTTCCTCAAAGTTTCTTAGGTTGAACAGCTGCTTGCAGTTGGAGGATTAGCTTTCCCTAAGAAATGATGTAACCACTTTAGATATGTCCCACCCCTTGCTTGATTTTGGAAAACAGGGCTATTTTATTTGAAATTTCATTACTTGTCTTTGTTCCCAGTCTGGCAGTGTTGTTTCCTCCTTGAACTTTACAGTGTCTTCCTGTCTGAGCTTCTGAATAATAACTAATCACTAAGCCTTGCTGAATGCCCCTTTGTTGGGAGAACGTAAGAGCTGGAGGAAAGAACCATACATGGAGTCTGCCTGCTGCTTGGGTCTGAAACCATTTATACAGACTTGGTTCAGGGGTTTTGAACATATTTTAAGAATAAAAGCATGAATTTTTTTTTCCAAAAGATGTAGCTGTCCAGATTTACATATGATCTAGAAAACATCAGCAAAACAAACACTTTGAAATGCTTATGTGAATGCATATACAAATTGTGTGTGTGTGTGTGTGTGTGTGTGTGTGTGTGTGTCAGGATTTGGTGTTAAGAAACCATGCCTGTACTGTTCTGCAAATGCCACGGTATTTTTTTTTTCCTTGAAACAAAGTGTATTGGTAGGCAATTCAGAGAAGACATGACATAACAGTAAGGACTATGTTCAACTTTGCTTTAAATTTAAGAGGGTCTTGGAAGTCTGGAGGATCAGGCAGAGAGTGCAGGTCACTTTGTGACCAGGACTCCCGTCCAGTAGCCTCAGAAGTCAGTTCAGGGGCCAAGCTTCGGCTCCATGTGCTCAGTGTCCTTTGAGAATCTAGAGCTTTGGTTCTAGTGGTCCATGAGTTCATTCTAGCTGTGGGGTTTCTAAAGGGCCAGTGGTCACCTCAGGACCTTAGTCACTGTAGATGGAGGTACAAAGTCACGTAGCCATTGTGGGGGTCAGTTTAAAGATTTCTCAGAAAATTAAAAACAAAACCTCCTTATTTACCATACTATTTCACACCTAAGCAGCTTCGCAGAGAACTACATATCCTCCTATAGAGAAATGCAAAGCCCATGGTTACTGCTGCTCTGTTCACTGCAAAAGCCAAAAGAAATCAGCCTAGCTGACAGTCAAAAATTGGCATATATATCTGTTATCTATCATCTATCTATCTATCTATCTATCTATCCATCCATCCATCTATCTAATATATATATATATATATATATGCACACATAAATGTATATATGAATGAATATTATTCCACTTTAAAGAAAAATGTAATCACAAAATTCACAGGAAAATGAATGGACTTAAGATGTATATTAAGTTAGGTAACACAGTGTCAGAAAGAAAAAACCACATATATAATCTATCCAATAGTACAGGTATATGAATAAACACGTGGATATGGGTAGAGTATAATATGTGGGTAAGAGAACAAGGCAGACTAAATATTAGGGCATGTGAGGAAGAGCCACACGCAGGTAAAGAACAGGAGTTACCAATGGGGATATGGGGCAATTCTCTCATGGGGTTTTAGGTTTTGGTAGTAGGTAAGCGCATAAAATGTTTAAATAGTGAAAGTATAAAGTCCAATGTCAGGAATCTCCGAAGCATCTATTTAGAATAGGTATTCTAACCATATACAGTGAACAGCTTACATGTATTCTGTTAAGAAAAGAGCCGAGGAGATGGTTAGTGGGTGGAGCTGCTTGCCGTCAAGGCTGATGATCCCTACAACCCACATGGTGGAAAGAAAAAACTAATAGGTTCAAGTTACCCTCTGATGCCCACATGTACATCATGGCGTGCGTGCATGCGTGTGTGTGTGTGCACACACACAAACACACACACATGATTTTTATTTTCATTAAATAAAGTATGCTATTGCAGCTTTCCTCCCCTTTTAGAATCTCTGAAGCCCTCTGTGAGGATGGAGTATGGAGGTGAGGATCAGTGTGCAACAGGGGACCCCTAGACTGCTAGCGTCCTTTGGGATATGTGCTTTCTTCCCTTGGAGTATAAGGGCTGTGAAGTCTGAGACTAAGACTCCCCTGATGGTCTGGGTGGGCTGCATGAAAGGGGTCGTCTCTTCTCAGTTTATAACCATGTCTAGCCTTATCCCATCCAGACATTCTGTTCTTCTGGACTCTCAATACAACACTGTGTCTGCTGCAGCACTCACACGACATTTAATATATCTATTCTCGTTTATACACTTCTACCAGAGGAGTTTCATGAATGGGACCATTTTTTAAAATATTTAGTATAACACTAATTTCTGAATGTCAGCGATGTACAGTGTATATATACATAGTTCTCTGTCTCCTGAAGTTCACAATCTGCTAAGGTAATCTGTTCTACATCTTATACTTTCTGGAAATCATTAGGTGCTTCCATGTGTCCAGATGAAGATAAGCTCTATGAACACAGAAATAGAGAAATTACTTCATATTTTCCAGTCTAGGCACTTGGTAGGTGAAGTGACTATCTTAATTGGTCCTTTATGTATATAACTTTATTCATTTAAAGTATTACTTGCTTGTTGATTTTGGTAAATGCTAGGATATTACTCTGCCAGTGAGCTACACTCTAGCTTCTCAGGTTTTTGTATTTGATTCTCAGAATCTTAACATTTTATATTCTAACAAGATTGCTAACATTAATGGCCCATAACGCTGATAAAGAGCTATCTTCTTCCCTTAAACTCCACTCAGAATAAGTACACTGGCTACAAGATGCTTCTTGCTTAATTAAAAAAGAAAGGTCTATCATAATAAATTGCTGTGTTTCTAGACTTTTTTCGAACATAGAACTCATTTATAATTTTCAGTAAAAGTACAAAGGGCCTCGGGGCTTCTGAAGAAGATAAAAGAATTCTCATCACACTGTACACTTTCAGAAGAAAATAATGAAGAATAAAAATAGTTCCCAACTCAGTCATTCTTTGAAATTGGTAATTTATTCCTGGAGTCTCCAAAGAGGAGACTCGGAAGACACTTGGCTCCCCTCAGTGAAATTACTCAGGGCTCTGCCTCTGACAGGACAGTGACTATCAGACCCTCCTTGAAATTCCTTTGGAAACTCCATCTACACTTCATGGATCAGATTTTGTAACTCAAAAAGGAACACAACAGGAGAATTATTTTTCCTGGTTTCATTCAATCTTTTAGCTCTTCAATAAAAATTAGCACATTGATTCAGAGTTTCAAGTTTCATGACTGCCATCTACTGGTGAGCGAGGAGGTGGCAACTTATTTTTGAAAAATTGCATTCTCAAAGGCCTCTAGTTTTAGGCTTAAATAATTTCCCTTGAAATATCAAATGCTACATAATTAGAGAACCGGGAGAATTTTTATAATTAAACTCAAATCATTTGACCATATATCACTCGCATAATTAGAGAAAGGAAAATGCGTTTTCATTTTTGTAATTTATTACATTTCATAAATATTATACAAAAGTAGTAGTATGTATGAGTTGTGTTCCAATTTAAATTTTGCTCCTGTGGGATGTGTTTGTGCATGTGCGTGTGTGCGTGCATGTATGCGTGCGTGTGCGTGTGCGTGTGCGTGTGCGTGTGCGTGTGTGTGTGTGTGTGTGTGTGGTGACTGTGTCGATACTAGGTCTCTTCTTCAGTTTCTCTCCATCTTACTTTTTGAGGCAGGGTCTCTCACTGAATCTGGAACTCACAGATTTAGCTAGACCTAACCAGTGAGCATGTTTCAGGGATCTACCTTTCTCTGTTTACCTAGGACTAGAGTTGCAGGTACCACCATGCCCAGCTTCTTCCGTGGATGCTAAGAATTTGGTCACAGGTTCTTATGCTAATGCAGCAAATGATTTACCATTGTTTTGCCATCGCCACAGCTAAATTTTGCTTTTATAAGCAGGGAGACATATCTAATTGATAATGAAATTATATCTAGATCAGTGGTTCTCATCTTTCCTAATGATGTGACTCTTTAATACCATCCCTCATATTGTGGTGACCCACAACTATAAAATTATTTTCATTGTTACTTCATGGCTGTACTTTTGCTACTATTATGAACTGTAATGTAAATATTTTTGGAGCTAGAGGTTTGCTAAAGGGAATCTTGACCCACAGGTTGAGAACTACTTATCTAGGGAAATCAAACATAGTTCATGTGGTGAAATTCTCTCATGGAAGAGGGGCAGTGAACTTTTTTTAATGAATTGTGCAAACACAAGAACTCCATGAACACATAAAGTACACAACAGCAAAGGGAAACGGAATGTTTCAAGGCTACATGTTGCTTGAACATGGACATTTATATAGTCGCCTTTTACATACAGGAAGCACTTAGCATTTGCAGTTAATAAAACATACCTGGCTTAAAATGTGGTAAAGAATGAACTCCAGGCCAAGTGTCCTCATTTGGTGTTCCAAGAACCTAGTAAAGAACAGGAAATTATGAAAACAGACATTATTTCCAAAGCACTCAGAATTTTCACGTGCAGAAAATAGTACACTGCATGGTATGACCCTCCGAGTATTTCCCCATTACCATCAGCTATGGTTTTCATTTCAATAAAAGAAAAGCCATCCAAGGAGAATCCCCATGTTCTAACAAATGCAGTTGAATGTGGCAAGTCAGGTCTGCTGTATTTTGTCAAGCTCAGAATGTAGGTGAAGAGTCACAGTGGGAAGTTGTCTTCATGGAATCTCGCAAAGCATGCTGGTGCCCTTCACCAGTCCCCTGAGCTCTTGTCCCTTCCTACATTGTCTCTGTGTATTGCTCCAGTTGAGGGAGTGCTGTCATTGCTTCCCCTGATGTCCTCTGTCTCAATGTCATGATGTTCCAAAACTCAAGAGTCACAGTTTGACATCCACACTCTTTCAGGATCCTTCAGTTTTAATCACTGTCATTTATACTTTCCTATTGTCAAAATAGTCTTTGATGGGCACAGTCTCTTTTTTTTCTATTTTCATTTCCACTTCTCCCCATCTACATTTGCTCTTGCAGAAGGAACTGAAGGATAGTTAGGGCTCCCACACTGCACTTGAGCACGTTCATTTCTCTTAATGATCATGATGAACAAAGCTCTAAACTTCAAATCCAACGTGTCAAGTTGAAAAGTTAACAGCCTTGAAGATAAGCTCACTGGGTTTATCTCCTAGCTCCTCTACTTTATTGGCATGTCAACGTGGGTAAGAAGGAGCCTCAGAGGGCATCACCTTTCTCATTATAAATCAGAGAGTGACGGTAGCACCTGTCTTGTCTATGTGGAGAACAGTCTGTGGCTGTCAATATAGAAATAATATTAGCTAAGTACCCACAGAAAATCGAATTGCCTCAGGGATGCAGTGGGCTTGGAGACTACAAACTTTTTCCATAGTAGCTCCCAGCCCAGGGTACATTCAGAGCAAGATGCTGCCATTTAAATGATTCTGGGCAAGCTTGGGCAGTCACCAAGTTAGAAGAGTAGGAGACAAGGCTGGAGAACTGTGAAGAAGGTAGAGGGGTGGGTACAGGGGAATCGAGGAATTCATACAGCTTTCTATCTGAGGACTCACAGGTACTACTAGGTAGAAGGCAATTCAAAGCTATGGATACTGGTCCAGGGATTTACTGGTGACAGTTTCCAGGGCTGTGTTGGCCAAGGGTGGCACACAGTGAGTGTTTTATGCACATTCCTGCTCTGGTGAGTCGCACCAAATACATGGACTCATGTCCTCACTTCAGTGTTAAATCAGCACGAGAGATGATAAAATTCTTCTTTGAAATTTCAGTTGGTTGATTTTTAAAAACATTAATAAAAACTTGTATAGACTTTGTCTTGGCTACTTTTCTATTGCTGTGATAAGACACTGAGACAAAGGAAATTTTAGAAGAAAGTGCTTATTTGAAGCTTATGGTTTCAGAAAGTAAGACTCTGTGACCATCATGATGAGAAACACAGCAGCAGGCAAGAAGGCATGGTGCTGTGGTGCTAGAGTAGTAGCTGAGACATTACATTTTTTTTATCCATAAGCACAAGGCAGAGAGAGCTACCTCTGAATGAAAGTCCACCCCTAGTACACACCTCTTCCAACAAGAGCTCACGTCCTAATTCTTCCCAAAATGCTCTACCTACTTGGAACCAAGCATTCAAGCATATGAGGCTATGGGGACCATTCTCATTCAAACTACCACAGAGCTACATAAACAAGGTTACATAATTGATGGGCTATGTGGAGAGGGAAGGAGATAGACAAGGAACCAGAGGGAAGAAAGAGAAAGAGCACTGTATAAAGAATTCTGATACCAATGTCTCTGCAGAAGGCACTTTTCAAAGTTTTCAGTCACCACACACAGAGATGCACAAACACACCCACAGATACACACACACACACACACACACACACACACACATGCATAGCTGTTTGGATAGAATGCTTCTCTTTGTTCTCACACTGGTTGAATTTTGCATGAAGGACAAAGGAGTCCAGCAATACTACACTTTAACAACCGAGAAGAGGCACATTTAGCTAAAACTGTGACATGGACACAGTTTGTGCATCACATATAAGTCTCTGGACGTTCTATGAACAAAGTACAGCCAGACTAAGTCTTGCTGCAGAATGACTACTGTCCTGATGGTCCGGTCAATAGTTCCATAATGCCTGTATCAATAAACCCTTTTCCTAGGCATGGTCCACACCCTTATAAGTGCTCTGTTTCATAGAGATTAGTACACATTATGCCTGTCACATGAAAATTAACAGGAAAGACAAGCCACACGAGACTGTCCTTTAATGTCAGACTTGGCAATTGGATCTTGGACTCCATTTCTTTTGTAGACATTCTTGGAGCCTTTGCTCAGGAAATGCCAAGTGGGCAGAATGCTCACAAAGAAAAAGAAAAATTAAAAATTAATTTTGCTTGCAGTAAAAGCCTTTTCAGAGGGTAAGAGGCAGGGTGAGTTGAGTGGATGACGGACAAGGACGGGCATCCATGCACTATGGAACGTGGATGTGCTTGTCTCTTCACCAGATTTGTACTTTCATGAACTAGTAAGCTTCAATGCCAAGACATTTCTAAGTTAGAAAGCAGAGGAATAATGTCTAAGACTTAAAAATGATCTTTTGTGAATAAAATATGAAAAAGAAAATAGAATCTGTGCTATCAGAATGTTAGAGTCCCCACATATGTGAGTAAATGGGTTTATTGCATCTGAAGCCCCTTCATCTTAAGATAACAAGCCACGAGAGCTGAAAAGTGTTATTCTTTCTTGAAGTTAATAGAAAGATATCATTTCCCCCTTCCCTTTCTTCAAACCTTCTCATATACCTCTCCTTGCTCTCTTTCAAATTCATGATTCTTTTCATTAATTGTTGTTACATATGGATGTGTGTATATATTCCTAAATACATAGGCACAACCTGATCAGTCTATATAACCTTAGCTACATGTATGTTCTAAGGGATTAACATCTGGAACCACAGCAATGACCAGCATGTCACAATCACCCTAGTGGTGCAATTGTGGCAGATACTTTGGTGGTAACCAACAGCTCTCTGATTGGACTTAATGCTCACTCAACCAGAAAATCCTACCTGGTACTGGAAATCTAAACAACTACTCAGGGCTAGTGAAGTCAAGGAGCATGAAGAGGGAAACCTGCAACCACCATGTTAGTAAATCAGCAAAATCCCTAGCTACATCCTAAATCCTTCCCTTACATCTACAGATAACTGTGGTGTGTTTTCACCTGTCATCATGAGAACTTCCCTTTGCAACACACAGATCACTACAGAAAACTACAGTCAATCAAAATTCATAGCTGTGGCACTCAATCCCAACGGATACATCTGAAATACAACTCTGGCACACAAGGCCTCATCAGGGATCAGTGCAGAAGAGGGAATGGAAAGATTGAGACCCAGAGGGCCTGGGAGTTCGCTGTGAGATCATGGCTCCTAGTAATGTCAGAAGCTACACCCATTAAAGTCTCACCAACACGACTATCCACACATGAGCTGAACAAGAACAACAATAATAGATACCCTAAAGTGGATGGGAGAAAGCCCAGGAGGCTCCAACCCTACACAAAGAACTACAGGAAACTAAGGAATGTCGGGAGTGGAAGAAATAGTCTTCTCCAGGGAAAAGCACATCAATTGGTTACACAGTACCAAATGGTCAGCCCTGAGAGGTCTTTTACACATTCATTTATGCATCTTCCACTTGAATCTGTCCGAGAAGCTGTGTACCTCCCAGCTTCCCACAGCAGGTGCAAAGCTGGGGACTCCTTTTTTTTTTTTTTTTTTTGGTTTATTCGAGACAGGGTTTCTCTGTGTAGCCCTGTCTGTCCTGGAACTCACTCTGTAGACCAGGCTAGCCTCAAACTCAGAAATCCACCTGCTTCTGCCTCCCAAGTGCTGAGATTAAAGGCGTGCGCCACACCAGCCTTTTTTTTTTTTTTAAGCTGGGGACTCTTATGGAGACACCCCTGGCCTAGTGAGGAAGGTGAAAAGAGAAAGAATTAGTTCCTTCAGCATGAAAAAAAGGTCCCTACAGGGCACTGGGGTGGGTGTTGGGAGTCTAAGAGCACAGAGGATGCTCTGCTTGTCTCTCCTGTGGGGGGAAAAATTCAGTGCAGTGGAAGGTAAGGAGACAGGCGTATTGAGTACGGAGGCAGAGCTAACAACGAAGGCTTGGGAGCACCAGGAGACAACTTTGTGAGCATTTCATTTCTCAAAACTTCTGGGCTGCCCGCAGTACTTTCTCTTGGTGGGTTCACTCCCTAAATGTCTGGCTTCTGCTTTGGTCAGCTGACTTCCCACCTCCAATTTCGGTTCAATGCATGAGCCACCTTTGCATGAGAGCATCCCTGGACAAGCTGGTTCGAGTCCCACGCTGCTTCTCTGTGACCCTGCAGTACTCTTTGTAGACTTCTCTTAGAGTTGTTTTGTTTCCCCACTGGACTTCAAGCCTCAGAGCCAAGACCATGTTTACACTTGGATTCTTAGTGCAAACCATATGTCTGGTACTGTATATAGATCCAGAAAACGTTGATTAACTGACTGGATGGATGGATGATATGTCTGCATAATATAATGAAGTTCTGACTGCAGGCTAGCCTCAGACTGGAGAGGCTAGCATCAGGTAATGAATCCAAAGAGGTTGTATTTATTTATCTGTTGCAGTAGTATTGTGCCTATTCTGGAACTGTAACTTCTAATTAGAGAAATGAAATGGTCTCTCATGGCACACTGCAAGTTCCTCAACTATTTTCTGGGATGAACATAACAGTCAAATGGTGGGCTAAACCAATAAATTAATAGGGAGATATATGCCAGCCATCATTTAAAAAGAGATGTGGTATATATCAGGGAGCAATCAGCAGTATAACACAACACTGTTTTTTGAAGCATCTGTTCAAGTTATAACTATGTGTGCATATAGTG